CATCACGGTAGAGCCACTCTGTGCGCAGTCACCAGCACTCCCTGAGCACCGTTCTGCAACCTTCACATGCGTTATCTCCCCCTAGAACGTAAACCCCACGGGCCATCGAATGTCTTACTGCTAAATCCCCAGAGCTCAGAACAGTGCTCGGCATACAGGAGATGTTTGATAAGCTTTCATTGAATGAATAATTGAGCTCCTGGCCCCATTTAATAGGGTTGTTGGGCTATAAATAGGTATAAACATTACCCACCCACTCTCATTTTACAGAAGAGAAAACTCAGCCTTGGAGGCATTCAGTAATTTGCCGGAGGGGTCATGCAACTAGCAAGTGAAGGGTCCTGAATGCAAATCCAGCCCTGTCAGCAGGGCAAGCTCTCTGCCAGCAGTGCTAATAGCAGCAGCCCTACCTCTGCCTTTTATATCCCTGCAGCCATGGTTACGCTTCAAGAAGGTATAATTTGAACCTACCCTCTCGGAAGCTGCATAATCACGAACTGTGGTAACAAGGCGCTAATATACACATTTCTGCAGCTCTACAGTTACACACACTCAGTCAGCCCACTTTAAGACAGCCCGACACAAACAAAAACAGCCAATTTCCAAAGTAGATAAATCTAGGAGGGCTCATTTGCTTTACAGAAAAATTCCCTGTGCTATGAAAAAGAAGGGTTATCCAAGGGGGTTTTTAAGTAGCCAAACTTCTCTGGGCACTGGGTGGAGTGAGAGCCCTGACATTCGTGGACCACCTTCTGTGTGCCAGGCACCTTAGGGCCCTGGAGAGGAGATACTTTTACCCTTACTTTAGAGATAGGGACACTGAAGCTCAGCTTCCACACATTTAGTCCTTCAACATTTGCTCATTCCAGCTCTGTGCTGGGAACCAAGGCAGCCCTCGGAAAGCGGCTAGGTACAGACACATCTCTGCCCTGCCCACAGCACTTGGATTCCAATGGGAGGAGATTGGTAATAAACAAGTAAATGAATAGGTGGACAAATCTTTGAGAAAACGTCAAGTTGTGATAAGTGAAGGAAGTGCACTGGGTGAGAAGAGAGTGCCGGGGTGTCTCGTGCTGATGCAGAGGCGTTAGGGAACCCCTTGGGTTCCTCCACTAGCAGCTGGCTGACTTAGTCTCTGGCTCCTGAGTTCCAGTACAGGGAAGGGAGGGAGGGAGGGAGGCGGGTAAGTAGAGAGGGAAGGAAAAAAAGAAGGAAGAAGGAGAGAGGCAGGGAGGCATTCGGCCTCTCCCTCTGTGCCACCACCTCAGCAGAAACCCAAACGGGAAGAGCTGCTAGAGACGCAAAGGGTATTCGAAGCCACTGTCCATTGCAGACCCATCTGAAGGTAGCTCTGAAGCCCTGGCACTGATGCTCTGAGAAAACAGGAATGTGGTTTGTAAAATTCCAGCTCAGCCAGCTTGGTGGGAGCACTGGAGCCAGGAGGACTGGGGCTGTGATAGGTGAGGGAGATGCAGGCTGACGGAAGTGAGGCTTGGTGAGGAATTAAGAGCCAGACCTTCTGATTCCACTACTTAAGGGCTTGTAGCTTAGGAGGGGGTGTTCGACCTCTTTGCGCTCCAGTCTCCTCATCTGTAAGATGAGGGTGACAATCGGAGCCCACTCTGAGGGCTGTGGGAGGATTAATGGAATCAGCAGCATGCACCTTCTTGTCCCTCCCGCTCAGGTGAGATTAAAGAGGTCTTGGCAACTAGCAGGTGCAGGGATGGGAGTAACTGAGGATGCAGACGGGGAAAGAGGGCAGGAGGAAGAACTCAGGGGCAGGACTGGAGAGAGGTGGAGGGAAGAGACCCAGGGAAAGAGAAGGCAGGTGTGCACATGGTTACACGGTTTCCCTTCAACTCCCCCAAAGCCTAATAGATTTCTAAATAGGCTTATTATCACCACCTATGAATTCTTTTAAAGGACCTAATTATAAAACACCAAACTAGCTAATTAGGTTTTCTGAGGCTCTCTGGATGGTAGTCCTGGCAAAGCCCGCAGAGCCAGATCACCAGGGGGCAGCGGGCGGAGGGCTACCTGTGACTTACAATTAGGCCTGTAATTGTCAGCCCCCCTCCTGCTGCTGCCAGGCCTCTGAAAATGCTCACTGCCTGCCCCTCTCTCACCTGCAAAACAGGGCCCAGCTTCCCCTGGGCCCCTCTGGGCTTGGGGCTGAGGATGAAGCAAATGGATGTCCCCAAAATCCAGCTTAGGAGGGGCTGCATCTAGGCAGAATGGTCAAGGAATCAGGCCCTGGGCATTTCCCCTTTCCTGTCTGAGCAGAAATGCTCAGGGGCTTCTTAGGCGCTGAGAAAATACACTTGTCTTCAACATCATCGGAGGGATGGGTGCACTTAGAGGGTAGTAAAAAGGCAGAGATGGCTAAGGCCCTCCCCATTAGATTAGAGGACCCCTGCAGGAGGCGAGGGGCCGAGTTCTCAAGCACTGGATGAAACCCTGTCTCCACTACAGCCATTGCCAAAGTGTGACCCCCAGTAGCATCAGCGTCACCTGGGAGCTTGTTAGCAATGCAGATTTTCAGCCACCACCCAGAGGTGGGGCCGTGCAAAACGCGTTTTGATGAGCCCTCCAGGAGATTCTGAGGTTCGCTCCAGTTGAGAACCTTTGCTCCTGTGTATACAGGAGGAGGCCATTAATCAACACAGCTGCCAGTGGTGGTGCTGTTGGCTGAGGGGGTGTGCGGAGAGGTCTGTTTCTTAAATTAAACTAAATGATGGCCATTAAGGGGGCCTCCCCTCCACGTAATTAATTCTCCTTTAGCTAAAGGGGCAGGTAAGAATTGGACAGCTCCTGATAATCACGGCGTGCCTCACCCTCACTCCTCCGCCATGCTCACCGTCTCCAGGGTCCTTCTCTGTGGGCCCCACCACTCAAGTCCGATTTTCTTTCCATGCGGTGACCCTGCTGGAGTCTGAGATTTGTGAGCTACATAACCCTCACTTCCCCAAGCTCCACACCACTGTCCCCTTCTCCAGGCCAGTCATCCCTCTCGTCAACTCTGTCCTCATCCCCCAACTCCTCTGCAGCCACACAGGGTCCCAACGTCCCTCTTTCACCAGAGCATCTCTGCTTTTACTAGCTTGACATGTTAAACTTGTGGGCAGAATTTTGTTTACTATTTAAACCACAGGTGTCACAGCGTTAAGAGATATAAAAACCCTGGAGCTGGAAACCCACACTTCAGACCTGATGGACTCAGGCAAACCAGAGTCCCGGGGCAGATGAGGCCGCCCTTTACTCGCTGTGTGACCCTGCACGAGTCCACTCACCTCTCTGAGCCTCATTTCCACAGCCCTCAGCTGTGAGTGATGCCACCTGTCTTGCTAGGCCTTGGTCAGGATAAACAGGAACTTTACGTAGGGAGCACCCAGGCAGCACGAGTTACACACTAGGGTTGGGGACACACTGCCCTCCCCAGCCACTCCCGTGGGTTCCGGGTGGGCTCAAATGGGGCTCATTCTCATTGACCTAAAGAGGTCTCTGGGTCACAGCAGCTCACCACTTCATCCCGTTAATAAATCCAGGAGTCCAGGTGACAGGCCAAGTTCAGCGCAGGCAACAAATCTCTCGTGGGTACCTGTTGTGTGCCAGGTGCCCTGGCAGTGGCTGAAGATGCAGAGACGGAACAAGAAAGGACCCTGGACCCTAGAAGGTCAAGTGTGATGGGGAAGACATTTACAATGCATCCTTAAGAACAAGGGAGGAGGCAAATGGGGCCCCAAATGGAGTAGTTTTGGAGACAGACCTGGGCTCCAGTCTTGGCTTCACCACTAAGTAACCAGGTAGCCTTGTGCAAATGACTTAATCTCTTTGTGTCCCCTTTTCCTCCTTTATAAGATGGGAAAAATAAGCACTTCAAAGGATGAGGCTTGCGGATGTTATGGGTAAGCAACCGGCATGTGTGGAGGCTCAAAAAGTGGTGCCATCATTATTATTATTATTATTTTGGTAGTGGGATTCCTTGTCCTCCAGGAGCACTGCCCCCCATTCCTCTGCAGGGTCAGGGGCTGAAACCGTTCTGGTGGCTCAGGCTTTGGAGCTAACCAGATGATCCTTTAATACACAAAGAAACCCCAAATAGCTTAACCTCAGCCGAGGCACAGAGGGCCCAGCCGCCCGGCAAATGCTGGCCCAGAATCCCGTGCTCCATTATTGCGTCTGAAAATCCGTTAAAATTTCACACAATTTCCTGCACAGCAGTGCGCTTCATAATGCTGGGAGCCAAGCCGGCCCAGTAATTGGGACTGGAGTGGGGCAGAGTCCAAAGCAATTAATCCAGCCTCCTTCCTTGTTTGCGCCAGGATAAGCCTGACGGGGTGGAGAGTAATTGGAAAGGAGCGGCCTCCATCCCCAACTCCAAATTAATATTTTCCTGTCCTGATTTAATTCCACCCGGGAACAGTGACACAGAGACACGCCGTGTCAAGCGCTAAGTAATCCGCCACGAGCCACCTGAGGAGGAGCAAAGGACTTTCCCCTTTCTTTGTGATTGGCGAGGGGGAGAAGGGGATGGCAGCTAACAAGACAGAACCTCACAAGTTGGAGGGCCTTCCAAGGACAATTGTAGTCTAACTTCCCTCCCAGTGCAGGGACACACCACAAAGGAGGGGGGAAATCCGGGACTTGAAAGGCAGATGGACCTGAGTTCAAATCCTGGCTTTACCCTTTAGATGCGTGACCCTGGGCAAATCATTGAAACCCCACTAAGCCTCAGTTTCCTCATCTGTAAAATGGGAATCACAGGACCTACCATGAATGACTGTCATAGAATTCATTACAATAAATATAAGGCACTTAGTGCCTAGTTAGTGACTGTAAACGGTCGCTATTTTTCCTGTTACTCTATATTTTATAGCTAGGAGCCAAACAATGGTAAGCTCTGAGAATACAAAGAGAAATCAAACATGGGCCCAGCCTTGAAGGAGCTTGAATTCTAGTCCCATGTATCCAGGACTGGTACACAGTAGGTGTTTAATATGTGCTAGCTCCTTGCCTTCTGCTAATGGCATCCAGGGGCAGGTGATCATACAACCTCTGCCTGATCACTTTTAATCATTCCATTGCTGATGCGTTTGCCTACGGACCTGTCAGCCTCCTCTTGGGCTTCTAGCTGCCTCCCCGTCCCCTCATCCCCCTGGTTCTGGCCCCACTCGAGGGCCCGCCAGAGAGCCCGGACCAGGTGCAAGAGCTGGGATTCAGGAAGCTGCAGATTTCTGCTGAAGACTTCGCCGTTCTGACTAAGCCCTTTCCCAGCTGGCTCGGCAGCCTTCTCTAAGGGAGGAGGGCTCCTCTCTCATCCCCGGGGTTCTTACCTTAGGGCCTCAGGCCTGCTGGGTAACCTGGAAAACTGGAGCGTGATTAAGCTCAACTGCCCACGGCGGTATCCTTCCGCGACCCACATCCCACTCATCCCCGGAGACCCCTTTCACCTCCCAAATAAACACTTCTATTGAACCCTTGTCTCCAGGATCTGCTTCTGGGTGACATCAAACTGAGACAACCAGGTATTCTGTAAACCCTGAGGCCGGCGCAGCCCTGCTGTGAGGCCTAACAAAAGGCAGCACCAGAAGACGTAGGGGACAGAATATGCTGCCTCAGTACTGGGCAGCTGGCACCGCCTAAGGGTTTCCAGGCATTGGCTGGGGTGCCTGGAGACAAGAGATCTCCGGGGATGGATGGGTGGTTGAGTTTAATTCAGCTGCAGGGGCAGGAGGTGGAGGTGCAGACTTTTTCATGAACGCGTCGAGAGCGCCAGACACCCAGGACACTCAGAAACATTTGAAGGCCACTAGGTAACAGGAATCTTACAGGCGCATGAAGGGGCAAGAATCAGGAAGATCGGGTTATTTGTATGCCCTTCCCCGCAGCAGGTGGAATGAAAAAGTTCAGGGATGGGAAGGAAGAAGATGCCCCAGTGGGCTCCAAACTCCCAAAGAAGCCAAAGCAGGGAGTTACCAGAAAAACCATGTGTTCGACAGAACTGCAGGGAAACTATGCAAATGTCAAACTGATGAGGAGAGGAGGGGGGAGCAGGAATAAACCAAACATTAAATCACATCAGTAGGAGAATAATAGCTAAACTCCTTCTTACTTGTAGCACTCAATTCTGCAGTCGATACGGTCCGGAATGAATGAACGGCCTGCTCAGAGCCACATCTAGATTCAATGTGTGTAGCACCCCAAACTCCAAGAGGGGAGCCAGCCAGCCGGGAGCAATCCTGCCACACCCCACATCTCCCACCCACAGAGGTTAATGTGCAAGCAGAAAGAGCAACATCTAGACCCTACAACACAGCTGGGGTGAAGAGGGGGGAGCCCTGCACACAAGCTGGGTGATGTGGAGCAAGTCACGTGCCCTCTCTGAGCCTCAGGGAATCAACATGGGGGCCAGCTTGAGGGGGCTGGTGGGAGGCTGGGGCAGGAGGCCTGGTGGTTGGCCACAGTGCAGAGAAGGGGAGGCAGCAGATTGACACTCGTGCCCTTCCTCCGGGGCAGCCTCAAGGCTACACTGCTCTCTCCAAGCACTCTGGACATGTAAAGGACCACTCACCCCAACCTTGGGCTGTGTCCCAGCTATATCCAAAGTTCTAGACATGACTCAGGGCCAGAAGAGCCTCACCTGTTCTGCCCTCACCCTCCTCAGTGCTCCTGCCCCTGACCTCAGGGATTTCAGTGGACACTTGCAGCTTTTATCTACCCAGAATCGATCTCTTTTGAAATGGTACCTCAAATTTCCTTGGGAGCCTGCACCCCTCTCCCACTGTGAGTCTTTGTGGTTCTGCAGGGGTCAGAGCCAGGGAAAACTATAGGCCTAAATCTTCTCTCTGCCCCCTGGCTGTGGTGACTAGTTCATGAGTAGGCATGTGACCTAAGCTGGGTCAATGACATTCAGTCTTGAGAATTTCACTGTTACTGTTGGAAAGAAGATGCTCCCTTTGTTGAATTATTAGGATATGGGCCCAGTGCTACCGGCAGCCGTTTTGTCGCCATGAGTGGAAAGCATGCCTGAGAAAGATGCCTCAAGAGATGAAAGAAGAACAGAGAGAGGAAGACAGATCTGTGATAATGTTGTCTGAAATTCCAGATCACACAGTACCTGAAGACTCCCATGGCCTCTTTAGTAGTCAACAACTTCCTTTTTGCTTACGCCAGTTTGAGTTTACATTTCTATCAGCCTCTTTCCCCAATCTGCGAAGAATTACGACTGATACAGGCATCAACATCCTGTGGGAATTGTGCTAGTGTGTGAACCTCTGCCCACTCTCACCCTCTGGAAGGAATCTTGGACAATGGAGTCCAAATCCATCTTTGGCAGTGGAGGAAACTGAATCCCAGATTTTTTTTTTTGAAGTTACTTATTCAAAGCCACAGAGCCAGTTAGGGGCAGAACTAAGATTCGAACACCAACTTTAAGCCTCTTACTCCTGTGTGCTTTCTGGACCATTGTGTGATCCATTTCATCTAGTTCTGAAAAGATTTGTATGCAGAGTGTATATTGTGTGTGTGTGTGTGTGTGTGTGTGTGTGTGTTTCTGTGTCCTCAGAGAGATACTAAGGTCCTCAAGGGCCAAGCCTGTGCCACTGCCATCCCTGACATCTCCCAGACCCAAGTTAATGCAGTGGGTCCCCTAGGTCCCCCTCTGCCCCTGCCCCTGGACATCAAGTATCAGTGGACTTCCTGAGGATATACTGGGTCATGCCCAGAGCTGGGCAGCCATGTGGTTCTGGGAATGACACACTGTATGTCCAGGGACAGAGGTCAACCTTTCTGAGACTCAGGCTAATGATGAAGTTGCACAGAGTAAAAATAATACTAGCAAAAGAGGTAACTTTCATGAGTTATCTCTTGTGAAAAAGTGAGACACCTGACTAAAAAAAAAAATACTGAGTGTGTCCACTTTAAGAAAATCCAATATCCAAAATCTAAATTTACCCTCTGAATTTAGAGGATCCAGGACAGTTTTATAAAAGGATTCTAATTGTTACAGCAGTTCCATTGAGGATCCAGGGCTGGTGTCTATAGGCCTCTCCAGCAGGAAGGCAGAAATGAAAGAAACAAAGATTTAGAGATAAAGGACCGAAGCCCTGCCCACTGAGGACCCCTGAGGGGAAGGCCGGGGTCTCAGCATGGGCAGAAGAAGTCAGCGGACAACTGTCACGGAGATGCGTGATTGTGTAAGGGGGCACACCTGTCTAAAGCAGCCGCACCATTCCTAATTGCACTGGGCCAAGCCCCTCTGGTCCATCCAAACAAGATCCTGGACCTCAAATCCTGGGGGAACCTAGGCTCAAGACCAAGCTCAGGAGGGCATCCACTGTTCCCAACCCATCACTCCAGCTGCCCAACCCTCCCGCTGGTGCCCATCCTCCTGTGGGAGAAGCAAGCTCCATTGACACTGGACTTGATGAGATGACTCCTTTTGGCTAACGGAATGGGAGCAGAAGGGACATATGCCACATCCAAGCAAAAACTTGGAGCATCACATGTTTCCACTGTCTTTCTTGCACTTTTCCCTCTGCCACTGGAATAGCATGTCTTTGACTGGGGCTGCTTTTGCAGTCTGAACCCAGAATGAAGACATACAGAGCTGAACCATAAATGGTCCACAGCAGACATGTACCATGAGCAAAAACTTAACTTCTGTTGCTGTAAGCCACTGAGATTTGGGGATTGTTTGTTTCTGCATCCCAAACTAGCAAAAGCTGATTAATACAGAGGGCAAGATTCAGAGCTTTAAGGCCACTTCTGACAACCCAGTGGGATAAGGGACTCAGACAGGTTGCTTCAGGTCACTGGGTTACTTAGGAAAATGCAGATTCCCAGATCCGCTGCTGAGCTTTAGTGCCATCTAAAGGAGGGGCCTAAGGAATTAGTATTTTTGACAAGCCCTGAAGATGACATACGGGCTGTCAACAGGCTATATAACTTGAGAAACCCTGATTTCATGAGTCCAATCTTTTTTGATACTCAGAGAGGCACAGTGATATGCCCAAGGTCACACAGCAAGGTGCTTGCAGGAAACAGATCTTCAGATCTCTCCTCTGAAGCATGCTTTCTCCAGAGAAATAGAGGGGAAGGTTGAAGGAAAAAGAGAAACTCACAGACTGAAAATGCAGCTCCAGAGAGAAAGACCAGTGAAGGCCAACAATTCAAGTTGAGCCAGGGTCCAGGTTCCAAGCTGGGGATGAGGCTGCCCTGTGGGCGGGTGGCTAGGTGACCCCCTGGGACATTCCTTGGAGGAGCAGGGGTGGAGAGAGAGGAGTCAGATTACAGAGCAAGGAGGCTGGAGGAAAGAGATAGAAAAAAAATAAATAAAAATAGAAGGAAAAAAAGTCTGCCAGCCCTGGTGAGCCCAAACAGCCCCAGCATCGCTGCAGGAGCCGCCCCAGCCCTCTTCGATTTTGATGTACAGTTTGAAACAAATCAATAGCGGTATAATAATACTCAGCACGCTGTGTAATTTTTATATCATTAGTTTTCATTTTCCGCTCCCCATGCATCAAAAAACTTACAACGGGCTCGTAAAGTTTATTTAGTATTCCATGAATTCCTAATCAGTTTCATTTCATAATGATTCAGGAGCCGCCCGCTGCCTAGGCCCCCGTGTCAAAAAATCGATAAAACCAACACAGTTTTCCTGATGGCGGCTGCAAAAGGATCTATTGTAGGGGAATTATGATTTATGCCCCGGCCTGACCGTGAGCAGCAGCCTCCACCCGGCAGCTCAGGGCTGAGGTCTTCGCCAATAATGATTTATGCACCTTCTGTTGGCCCCACCCAAGCCCTCTCCCTGCCCTAGCTGGCCCCTGACACTGGGGGGAGGGAGAAGGTCCAGCTGGGAGGGAAGGAGGAAGAAGGCACAAGGGGGAGGGCTGAGCAACCCTGCCTGGGCCCAGCCTCTGCCTCCAGGTCCATGCACTCACAGGAAGGCCTGAGCAGAGAAGTGAGATGTTTGGGGAGCCCTACCTGGCCCCAGGGATCTGCAGAGGGAACAGGACTGGGACAAGTGTGCATGGGAGAAGCCAGGATAATCCTGGTTCTGCAACTAGAATCCTCACTCCCCTCCAGCCTCTCTTTCTGGCCTCACAGGTAAGCTCTTTGCCCCCACTTCAAACCCATGCAGTCACCTCCACTCTCGCCAGCCCTGCCCAGAGGCCCCAAGGAAGCTGAGTGGGAAAGAGTCCCCAGGGTCATGGCGGCCAAAAGGCCTCAGCTGGACCTCATGGGATGCAGACACAGCTGGCTTCCAGGAATTCTGAGGCTGGAATGGAGACTTCCAAGGCTCCCAAAAGGGAATGAGGGGGTGGGCTTGAATCTCTCAGGTGCGCTCTCAGGTGCGCTTGGTTTTTAGGACCCTCTGCCCTCCCCGCCCCTGAAGCTCCCATCCCCTTCCTCTACTGGGGGGGGGGGATTAATAGGTCTAAGAGACACGTTAATGGCATTGGCATTAAGTCCAACAACTGGTTTAATCAAAAGCAACTAACCTAGCCCAGGAAGAGAGATCTCAGGGCGACTTCATGGGGGAGGGGATGCCGTAGTGTGGCTGGGGGCCACCAGAATGGGGGCCACCAGCATGTGCACCCCGACCCACCACCTGTCAGCTGGGTCCCTCCCTCCAGGTAGTGCACGGGGAAGGCTGGAGGGCCTCATGTTGGTGGGTTGAGAGAGGCGGAGTTTCAGGGGCTAGGTACCTGCCAGGACTCCGTTCCTGGTCCAAGGTGGCACTCCAGCCTTAGACCCAAGTTAGAATAAGCGGCCCTCCTCCTCACACCTTCACTTTCCTCTTCCTTCACTCACTCAGCAAACATCAGGGAGACACCCCACAGCCGCTCCTCTGCATGTGGCTCAGAGGGGAGAAGGGACTCGCCCAACCTGGCAAAGTCGGGGTTCTAACCGAGGTTTCCATGCCCTACCCCTCCGCACCCAGCGATCCTCCCACGCCTGGCCTGTGGCCCTCTCTCCAGGGCCAGGGTGAGGGCAGGCTCTCCTTCCATTTCTATTCCTAATCCCATGCACACAGCAGCACGGAAAGAGCCAGACTTTGGGACCAGACCTGGATTCAAATTCCGGTTTCTATCATCCCCGGCTGAGTGACCTTGGGCAATTTAATTAACCTTTCTGAGTCTGGCGTTCTTCATGTGTAAAATGGGAGTAATAATTTCTGCCCCACGGATGGTGATGGGTCAAAAGGGCAGGTATATAAAATACCCATCCCCAGGAGGCCCCTGCTAAATGCTTCCTGCCCTTCCCCCATGCCGATTTGCCTCTCAGCCTCGTTCACTTCCCCCCTAAAAAGTCTCCTGTGTGTGTTGGAGGTGACGGGGGGGGCCTGGATATGTCCCCACTCCTCCCAAGATAATTGAGAAACCAAGATCTAGCCAGGACTTGGCCGCAGTCACTATTCTGAGCTGCCTCCCGGCTTCGTCTGCACAAATCTGAGCCCAGCCCCCGCCAGGGCCTCCACCTGTGAAACAGAGGTGGTTCCTTCTAAGGCTGTAGCCTGGCAGCCCACGGTCCTGAAAATCACGTCCTAGGAACCAGCAGCTTCTCCCAGGTTGGGAGCCCTTGGGTGGGAGGGGCTGGGTGGGGAGAGAGAGCCTGGATCTGGGGCGGAAGAAAGGGTGGGACCCTGCCTGGCCCCTTCCATCCCCAAAAGGTTTTCGAGGGGAATCTGGGCTTCTCCCAGTGCAGCAGAGCCCAGACTCCTCCCCATGGAAACGGAGACCTTGGGGACCGGCTGTCGCTCCAAAGGTGCGCGCTTTGCCTCTCCTGCCCCGCCGGTTGGTCGGTTAGTTGCTAGGACCTGCAGCTTTGGGTCAGGCTGCTGTTGGCTCTCCTTGGTTCTTTCCTTCTCGCCCTGCTCCTGTCTCCCTGTCTCTGTTTTTCAGTCAGCTTCTAATCCTTCTGTCTCTTCTCTTTAACTCCTTCCCTCCACCACCGGCTTCAGTCACTGGGGAAAATAAACACTCCATCCTGCAAGGCCGGAGGGGTTCTAACACCTCCCCTGCCCCAGCTGGCAGTGCTAAAAGCCCTGAGATTTCAAGGAATAACCTATCTGCCCTGCTACCCTTTCTGCTGCCAGGTCCCCCCTCTTTGCCCCCTCAGCTGTTCCATCACGCTGGGCTCAGTGACAATCCTACTGGGAAGGTAGCGAAGTGGGCCAGGAGGCTGATCAGTGGCCAGCCCAGGCCCAGAGCTGGACATCCACCTGGCACCGCGGTGTGAACGGCGTGAACGCCAGCCTGGCTCTGGCAGCTGAGGCCGCCAGAAGAGCCAGTCTCTCCGTCTCCTGCAGACAACCACAAACACACCCGGGCTCCTCAACCCAACAGGCAGCTTTACTGCCTCCACTGCCTCCCCCTCCCTCTCTCTTTGCCCCTCACTCACCTCTCATTCTGCCCGAGAGCAGAGTCTCAGCTGCTCCAACGCCTTGACGACAGTGTCCAGGCTCAAGCTCTCCAGCATCGGCTGTTCCATCTGTGAAATGGGCTCGGTGAGAGTTTTCTCGTCAAAGCAAAGGGCTAGGGCTGGATTATGTGCTGTGCGGACCGTGATTCCTTCTTTAACAGTCCTCAGAGGTCACCGCACAGAGCTCAGGCCCCAGGACTGTGGCCCAAGCAGGGACTCTTCCCCAGGTGACCCTGTAAGTTACAAAGCTCCCCAACTGGCAAGTTGCTGGAGATTAGAAGCTCGTTTGGGGGACAAAGAGAGTCACAAAGGAAATAAGAAAAGAGAGACCAGGACCAAAAGGCATCTGTGTCCCACAGTGGGGAGGGGGGTCACTGAGGCTGGAGGGAGTCGGGCTCCAGGGTCAGAGGACCCTGAGTTTGGACGTAGATTTGGCCACCTGCCCAGGGAAGGACATCAGATGGCTATTTAACCTCTGGGAATCTCAGTTACTCATTTGTAGAAACAACTAGGATCCTGAGCTGCCAGGAGCAGGAGCACCCCGTGGATTCGACAGAAAGTGAGAGGGTGGAGGGAATGAGAGGTGGGCCTCTGGAGGCAGAAAGAGGTGGGTTTGAATCTCAGCTGGACGGCGGCCTTCCTGTGTGACCTTCAGCGAGCTCCGTAAGAATTCCAAGCTGCCTTGTCCCCACGTGGGAGTGACCAGCACCCTGGCTCATGGGATTCTGCCGATGACAGATGGCCATGTGGCATTTAGAACATGGAGCTGGCACCCCATAGGTGCTCCTGGTAACTTTTGTGGCATGGGCACAGTGCCTGGCGCCGAGAGAGGTTCAGTCAATGTTTTTTTGATTTATTATGGGGGAGTGAGGATAAAAATTATTACGAGGGTCCCAGGTGAATAGGGTGAGGGATGGGCTCTGTCTGCTCATGCCCAGAGCATCTACACTGATGCTCTGTGTCCCCAGAGAACGGCAGGGACTTGGTTCCTATCTGGCAATGAAAGAAACTGAGGCCCAGAGAGGTTTGGTGGATTTTTCCAAGATCTCACAGAAAGGGAGAGGCAGGACTAAGATGACTCAACACTCCCCAGGCAGGACTTCAGACTCAGGGAGCATGCTGCTTCCTCGTGCCTTCTCAGTCAATTCCAGGCGGTCATTACCACATGCTGCGTGAGCTCCACCTGGCTCCACGCTGTGGGTGGGGGGGCTTATCTCATTTAATGCTCGCATCACCTGTGACCCTGGTTTTCTTCTGCTCTCCATTTTACAGATAAGGAAACAGAGGCACAGGGAGTTAGGGGGTTTGTTCGAGGTCATGCTGCTCACAGGTGCTGAGGGCTGGATTATAAGCTCTCATATGTGGAGCCTGTGAACTTGACCAACTAGTTGCCCTGGCTGACTCAGAGGTGGCCCGTCCAGCCAAACACAGGCTGGTGGGTCCTTGCAGAGGTCAATGTGACAACCCTCCTGTCCCTTCCCCCTCGTCCCCTTCCCCAGCTCAGGCTGACTGCATGTGAGGGGAGCCTGGGTACCCCAGGGAGGCAGTCCCCACAAGCTCCCTGCATCTGCCATTCAAAATCTTCCCTCTTCTCATGAGTCTAACCTAAATCCTTCAAGTTTCAGGGCGGTCCTGGGTGCCTCTCACTCACCCTTCCACCATCATTTCCACCCACCCACCGCTAACCTGGTGACAGCCTCTGGAGGGAGCAAGAAATGAGATCAACAGCCCCACTGGGGGCAGATGGGGCCCACGGCCCAGCCCTCTCCCTGCCCTCAAGTGCCCACAGAAAAGCCCAGGTTTTGGAGTCAGTGGACCTGGGCTGCTGCCCCAGTTCTGCCTTCCTTAACTATGTGACACTGAGCAAGGATGTTCCTCGACCTTCCTGAGCCTCAGTTCCTTGTCTGTGAAGTAGAATCCATCATCCTTATGGTCGCCAGGCTTAGACGCCACAGTGGGCCGGCGGCCTGAGCACTGTGCTCCTGGGGCACCTCTTGGGCTCAAGATGAACACTGCTTTCCTCTCCCGCCTCCCTCTCTTCTCCCTCATCCCCATGGAAACCACGAGGCATTTTCCATGGAAAAGAAAACCTCTGAGTGTTTTCTTTTTTTAAATGGAGATACTGGGGATTGAACTCAGCACCTCCTGCATGCTAAGCATGTGCTCTACCACAGAGCTATACCCTCCCCCCTGGGTGTTTTCTAATTACACCTGAGAAAGTGTGGCTGGAGCTTGTGACAAGCAGATTTTTCCCTTTATTGGATGCCAAGTACCATGCAGGGCATACCCCCACATGGCATCTTATTCCGTCTTCTCTATGCCCCAACAAGGTCCAGAGACAGGCGGTGCCTCACCTAAGATCACAAAGCGAGGAAGAACCAGGGCTGGGTGGGAATTAGTTCTGTCTGCAGGTGGTTGGAGGCCAAGGGGGTCTTCCCCTACCCAGATTGCCCCCCTCCCAACCTCCCAGCCAGGGGCACTGGTGGGGAAATGCAATCACATGCACAAGGTGGGAGGGAGCTTGCTGTTCCAATTCATAGATGAGGAAACTGAGGCCGAGCAAAGATAAGAAGCTCGACTGAGGCTAGAGGCTCCACTTCTGAGATGACTCACTCCCATGGCTGTTGGCAGGAAGCCTCAGTTCTTTACTGGCTGTCAGCAGAAGGCTTCAGCTCCTTGTTACATGGGCCTTTTCACAGGGCTGCTTAAATGTCCTTGTGACCCGACAGCTGGCTTCCCCCTGAGTGATCCACAGGAGTGCAAAGAGGAAGGTGCAGTGCCTTTTGTGCCCTAATATCCTAAATCACACACTGTCACTCTGCCTTTTTTGGTTGTTAGAAGGAACCCATGTTCTAGAGGAAGGGAATTTGACTCCATCTTTGGAAGTGAGAACCATCAAAGAATTTTAGTATTTTAAATCCACCACAGTGTGTGAGGTGGGGTCAGGGCACTGGGATTTTAAACACTCCCCTGGTGACTCTAACATGCAGTCAGGACTGAGACCCACTGAGATGGAAAGTCACCACCTGGAGGGGGTTGAGAAGGGAGACTCAGCAGGACATGACTTCAGGGCTGAGCCAGCCCCCAAGTCCTCCTTCCCCAGGGAAGCCCACATCGGCAGTCTCAGCCCAGGTCCCCTCCCCGGCCCCTCCCTCACCCCTTCCAGCTCACCTCCTCTGGAGGCCTTCTCAGAGACCCCCACCCACAGGCTGCAGGCCCCCAGCCCAGCATCAGCCCTGCACTAGCTGCCTCTGGGTCTGGTTTCAGGCCTGTGCAAACGTATGGGTTGGTGTGAGCATGTGTGTGCACACGTATGCGTGTGAATGTACCCACACAGCCTTGTCCGCTCACCGGTCAGGGTTCCCAGACAGAAGGGACCCATCTTCTCGGCCCCCCTCTGCTGTCTGTCTTCCTTCATTTTTCCCCTTTCTCTCCCCTCTTTCTCTTCCCTCTCCTTTCTTTCTTCCTCTTGACTCTCCTCCACCTCCCCGTCTTTCTCTCTCCCCTTCCTGATCCCGTGGTCCCTACGCCCTCTCTCTCTTGCCTGTTAGGAGGCCCAGTGGCTCCTCTGTGACTATTTTGATGAAGCCACCCCGAGTGAATGTGGCCCTGGACTTCCCTGCCCACCTCCAGGAATCCCCCAGGTCCGGCCACTCAGGGTCTCAGGCGGGGCCCGCTTCCTATATCTTTAACCCCCGGGTGGAAGAGGGCACGGCTGAGGGGTGGTGGGCAGGAGCCAGGAAGGAGCCAGTCCTGGGGCTGCGTCCATCTCCAGCCTCCTCTGCTCCTCACTGCCCGCCCGCGGTGGGCCTGGCCTGCGAGGCTCCAGAACCTTCCTCTCCATCCCTCTCTCTGCCCGTTGCGTGGGCTTCCTCTTGGGGAGGAGCAGGCCCTGGCCACAGCTTCGAAGGCAGCCTGTGGAAATGAGGAGAGCAGCCCTGCCCTAGTAATGAGGAGAAGAGAGAACTCCTCTCGGGAATTAATGAGACCGCCAAGAACAAAAGAGGCGACGACCAGCAGAGGCCGGAGAGGCGGGGCCCCGCGCAGCCGTCCCCGCAGAACCGCACGCCCGCAATAATAGAGTGAGGAAAAATGGAGTAGAGATCCCTGTGGTAAAAACTATTAGAGGAGGCGAATTATAAAACTATTAACCAGAATGTAACTCCCAATTAAAAGATGATTTAACACTGGAACCTGATGGATGAATTTTGATTAAATGGAGAACTATTAGGAGCCCAGGGATAAGGCTGCTCCTGCCAGTTCTAAAAGTTAAAAGGCAGTTTGATATAAAAATTTATAAATTAAGGTTAATTACTTTAAATAACATGGCTGGAAGCAATGAAAGGAAATTTATCAGAATCTCCAGAGTTTGGGGCAAGATGGATACAGATGTCCAGGCTGGCCCCCAGGGAGCCTGGAGGTCAGGGTGGGGACAGCTGAGGCCAGTAAGAGGGCAGGTGATGTCAGTGCGCCCATCAGGCCCGCCAGGAAATAAGGGATTGGCTGAGGCCGGCATGGGGTGCCTTCATTGCCCTCCACCCCAGGGCCACACCAAGAGAAGTCAGTTCTGGGAGATGGGCAGGAAGGAGGCCTCACGGCCCCAGGACTAGCCTAGGGAGCTAGTCTGATGGGGAGGACATAATCTCTCCTTGGCAAGCCCTCCCTCTGTTGGAAAGGACAGAGCAGGAGTCCCCATTCTATGACCTGCGGTTCACTGAGCACTCAGCAGGGTTGGGACATCACCACAGTCCTGCCCCATCTGGAGTCACCAGCACCCCCCTTGCCTGACCTGCCTGGCCCTGCTCTGTAACTCCCAACCCCATGAGCCCTGATGGGCAGGACAGGGCCCTATAAGAGATTCCACAGGGTGCAGGCTGTTCTCCAATGCCCCAGGGTGGTGGGCCATAGGCACCCTGGAGGCTACCCACTGCCCATGGCCCCAGACCTCCCTGGGCTGAAGGTTGTGCTTCCAGGAGACCCAGGCACTGCCCATACCCAGGGCAATTTGAACCCTCTACCGCCAGGCAGTCTCCTCCCTGCTCTGCCCTGGGCAACTCATCCCTTCCCCAGA